TATTGTCATATTGTATGCTATTTGTATTTTGTTTTCTCTTAACTGCAAAAGACATTACTAATATTGTTTCACATAGTGAATGTTCATTTAGACTTATATTTACTACATTATTAGCTCATTATTCCTTTTCACAACTCAATCTTGCACCTGGGATCATTTTCCTTCTGCCAAATGAAAATTTTTGGACAGTCCATTGATGAAAACAATTTTCAGACTCTTTTTGACCATGGCTTTTCTCTGAAGGAAACTTTTGCTGGGCACGTGTTTCTGGACTAAACCTATTATCTTTGAATGTCACCTTGAGAAGTAAGCTGTTGGTCCCATTATGATTCATTGAAGGTAGTGTCTTTTCATTCTGGCTGCTTTTAGGATCTTTGGCTTTTCTTTGTAGTTCTAAAGTTTCCATATGTTTCTGGATTTTTTTTCTATTTTTCTTATTTAGAATTTGTTGGCTGTGTAGAGCTTTGAATGGTTAATTTTCATTATTCTGGGAATTCTCAGCCATTCCCTTCAAATATTGCCTCTACCCAATCTCTTTTCCTTTCCTTCTGGAACTCTAATTAGATGCCTGTTAAACCACCTTCTTCTAAGTCATAACCTATCTTTCATACTTTACGTATCTGTGTCTTTCATTCTGTCTAATTTCTTTAGCTCTACCTCCCAGTTCAGTAACTTTAATTCTGCTGTGGCAAATCTGCTGTTAAAGCCTTTCAGTTTCTAATTTCAATTATTACAGTTTTAATATATTGAGTATTTGACTCTTTTACAAATCTTGGTACTTTGTTTATAGACTTTTGGTTTTAGTCACATTTTAAATCTTTTTTTCTTTTACCTTATTAAGCATATTTATATTCTGGGTTTGATCAGTGAGGTGTCTGGAACCTTTGCAGGTCTGATTCTGCTGTGTTACTGCTAGTTCATGTTTGTGATGCCTTGTTTCATGTTTCTTTCTCATTTGCGACAGTGAGCATATATGTCATGGGACCTTATCTGCGGAAATCCTTTGAGGACTGGGTTGAAGGTGGGTTCTTTCAGAGAGGGTTTGATTTACTTCTGCCAGGGCCTGAGGGGACTGCCACTCTAAATTAAATTCTTGTCTTGAGGGTTTTGTAGATCCAAGATACCATGTTTTCAGAGCCAGGCTGTGGTTATGAATTCTTAGAGAAGATCCTCATAGCAACAAAGGATCAAGAGAGGCAGGTTTTCTTGTGAGTAGACTGGAGTTGGGTGAACAATGGGGAAAATGAGAAATGAGAGAAAGGTAGGGAACTGTACCCTGGAGGGCCTTGTAAAGACTTTTTTGCTTTTACCTGGAGTAAAATAGAAAAGCTAATGACGTCACCTGAACAGAATCACTCTGGCTGTTGTGATACGATGAGAAAGCCAAGGAAGGAAGAGGTTAGGGCCATTAGGAGGCTACCATAATAATCCAGGAAAGAGATAAGGGCAGCTTGAATAAAGATGGCAGAAGAGGTAGTGAGAATTGGTTAGATTCTAGTTATATTTTAAAGGTAGAGCTGACTGGTTGGATGAAAGAGGTAAGCTACAGATAATTACAAGGTTTTTGTCTTGAGAAAGTAAGATGGAAGTAGCATTTATTAAATTTTTAGAAGACTGTAGAAAAATCAGATTTGGGACAATCCAAATCTCAGTTTTGGACACATTAAGTTCGAGAAACCTACTAGACATGCAAAAGGAGAAGCTGGAGTTTGAGGGGTATGGGAGGTTGTCTTGACATATAAACTTGGAATTAGGCAGACTACAGATGACAGTTCAAGTTATGAGGTTAGATGAGATCACCAAGGTGACAGAAGTACTTCATTGAGAGATCTAAAGATTAAGTCCTGGGGAATGCCAACGTTTAACTATTATCAGAATCTCAACATACCTCCATATGAATTTCTTAAATCTTACCATATAGAAATCCTAGAATGTCAAGGTTAGAAGACTAATTTAAAACATTATTTAGCTGTTTACATTTAAAATTGGGAAGGGGCTATATAATGTTTGACTTTGGTTCTACAAAGCCTAGAAGGTGTAGGAAGAAAAATTGTTACTCTATAGTAGCACCCTTCTCCTGAGCTGTGGAGCATGGTTTCGGAAACATGCCACAGGAAGACAGACCTCTGTTGAGTAACAATAAGAAAGTCCGTATTTTTTTCAGGTTGTGCCACTATGCCAAGGGATGAGCCAGAGCCTCCCAAATTATGAAATGATTGACAAAAGTTGGGGTCACATGGATCCTTGTAATTTAATTCCAATTTTGTTATGAAATTAAGAGATACTATAGGTTCTCAACACTTTCTTGTTCAGTGTGACTTTAATAAAAATGGATAATTATTTGTACAATTGCTTATCCATTGACTTTCATTTTTAATTCTTTTCATAAATCTTCCTTTGAACGATGTGAACAGTTACCATTTGATAAAACATCAATACTAAAAGCATCCTTTGATCCAAGACAATTCTTTCATTTTGCAGATAGGAAAATGAGGAACAGAAGGGGTTAAATACATCAGTATGTTTCTGTGCATCATATTTCCAAATGTCATAGTAATAATATCCATTGTTTTATAATAATACTGTCCAAATATTATCTGTGAAACAATTTTAAGCTAAAGAACAAAAGGGCTCTAATGTGTTAAAATGACTGCTAATATTGATAGAAGAAAAGCTGAACGATACAATGTTATATAAACTGAGCTTTTGAATCTTGATAATCCCTTGGAGGGTACAGAAATTTTCTACATGAAAATCTAAAACTAACCACTGAGACTACCAGAGAATAAGTTTCAGAACCCCCATTAAGTAAGAAATGGAAAATGTATATATTTCTTGGGTTAGAAAATATTTACATCTTGAAATATGCCTTATTTTTCTAGCTATTCCAGAAATTACACTCAAATACAATAGAATTTAATAATTAACAGAAAAAAAGGGTTAGTAGAAATTAATCTATTGAATATTTGTATAATCTAAATCTGACAATTGTTGGAATATTAAAAAAGATAGGGAAATGAAAAAGGGGCAATCATATGTGATATAATCAAAGATAAAACAGAAGAATTATAATCCAAAAAGCTATCTGAATACTCATTTTGTAGCTTAAAATCCATTACTCTACCCATGTCTTAAAAATTTTGGGTGGGGTGTGGGGATAGTAAGAATGAGGGAATGGAAAGAAGAGAGAGGAATGAAATAGAAGGAAGATATCTAGAATGGTCAGAGTGACACTGGGAAAACTCCACCTCTAACCTCCATTATAGTGAAGCCTCTTTAGACTTGGCATCCTTACCTAAAGGGGGAAAATTAGAGAAAGGTATATACCCAGGACACATTAGAAAAGAACGTTAGGCAAAGAAACCATGGAAGTGATTGTGGGTTCTGGTAGACAGTCAGTGTTTAAAAGAAACAGATTTAGAGATATGTTGGCTGGAGCATTGAAAAGTAAGCAAAAACCTCCCTACTGAGTCATGGAAGTTTGAGAACCTTACCTTAGTCCTTCTTTACTCCAACATGGATACATACATGATACCTTACACTTGGATAGCACTTGTCATCAAAGCATTTCCGTGAACGCTGCTTCATCTGACAGAGTACCCAAATGCCTATTGTTCTTCTGGGAAGATACTGAGTATCAGCTGTTAGGCAACAGGTGAAGGAGTGAGGGGGATCAAAGAGAAACCTAAATGTAAGTGTCCACAGTCTCACTAAAACCAAGGTTTAACACACATGTTGAATATTACTACTGAGAATTGGTATAGCACTTTATATTTTTCAAAGCCTTTTCGTGACATCATTTGGAATGGTCTTAAGCAAGCAACTAAACTCTGGGAGATATAGTTCATTAGAGGTGAGGATTTCTAGTAAAATAACCTAACATTTACAACTATATTATTTGTCTTAAATTAATCACGTGATTTGCTAGACCTACGTACTGGGGACAACTACAGGTAGGAAAAGTCTTAATGCAAGAAATATATCCAAGAGAGAACAGAACTCTGTTGCACTCAAACTTTATGCTGTGATTAGTTTTCAAAATAACCAAATCAATAACTTTCTGTAAATTGCTAGCCCAAAGGTGGTTCTGTTGTGGATATTTCTGAGTTTGGGCAGATGAAATAGACCAATAAGATAATTAAAACTCTTTTTATATATGAATCAAAGCCTTCATAGGCATAGGATTTCCTTCTCTTCCTTAATGGAAAATGAGCCAGCCAGAAACACCAGTGGATCTGAGAAAGAAATCCAGCATGTAAAGACAGTGAACACTGGGGCCAACCCCACAGCCGAGTGGTTAAGTTCGCACGCTGCACTTCGGCGGCCCAGGGCTTCGCTGGTTCGGATCCTGGGCACAGACATGGCACCATTCATCAAGCCGTGCTGAGGTGGCATCCCACATAGCACAACCAGAGGCACTCACAACTAGAATATACAACTATATACTGGGGGGCTTTGGGGAGAAGAAGAAGAAGAAAAAACAACAACAAAAAAATTGGCAATAGATGTTAGCTCAGGTGCCAATCTTTAAAAAAAAAAAAAAAGACAGTGAACATTAAGGTAACAACTAGAGCTGTGTGGCAAGAACACAATATGCTGACTCATCCAGGCAAGGCCACTGGGCAACCGTATTTGTACAGTGAAATAAGTAAAATCCAGAGCGAATTATTTCTTTGACAGATGCAGACTGAGCTGTTTATGTTAAAGAAAGTTGGGCAATAAACAACAAACATGCCAGTCTAATGTTGAGTGAATGTGAGAATGTTCTCCACATAGTATGTAAAATAGATATAACTAAGAAAAAGTATAGCTGCACTGCAAAAAAAAAAAAAAAAGGTCTCAAGTTTAATAAATCTTCTCTCTGGCTAGCCAACATGTCATTATTTTTTATGTCTTGATTTTTTCTTTTTACATTTAAAATGGTCAAATAGGCCATAATTCTGGAATAAATTCTAAAGCTTTAATGAGCATGTCAACTTAAATGAAAATGCAATTCAGGGTTGAATATAGGATATACATTTATTAACAGTGAAAAAGCATTTACCCAAAGTGAATGTTACAAAACACAGAGTACCTGCACAGTCTGGCGAGCTCACTATTTTAGGCATTATTTCAACCTATGTAGGGTTCTCTCTCACTCATTTTGACCTTTCCTCCCTCTTTTATTTCTAACCAGATTTTTAACTTAAAAATTAAGACAAACAGGAATATTTAATTCCCTTTAGCAACAGTTAAGGAAAAATATATTAAAGTTATCTGCTCTCAAGCTTTAGGTATTTTAAAACTAAATTATCTACTCAAATAGAAAACAACAGACTAGATTACAGCAGCTATAACACAAGTCAAATAAGCAAGTTGATAAGGTTCATAGACTACAGTGATAACTAAGACGTAAGTACAATTCTTCCACTGTATAGATCTTTAATAAGCATGCGGAGGGGGGAGAGAGAGAGAGACAGTTGTAATATGTAAGGCTTGGCTTGAATACCAAAATGAAGTTTTCCCCTCTTCCTGTTCAGAGTCTAGAAAACAAATACAGAGCTTGAGTATACATATAATGTAACTTATTATTTCAGTTTCTCTGAAGTCAGGCCAACTGGATAAGAATTCCTGATTCTGGAATGACAGTTTTCTGAATAGGTTTTATTGAAGTTGGAGATATATGTTTCGCATAATTTAAATTAAGTAGCAATACAGTAAATGTCCTCATAGGGAAATCTTCATTTAATAATTATTAATGTTCTGATTGGCCATTATAGTTTTACACTGAAGTATCAGGCAAGAAAGGATTTTAAAGGAATACCAACCAAATTCTTTTCTTAAGGGGTATTTCAGCCAATTGTTAACAAACTTGAAAAACTACTTGAAACTAATTCTTCATATTTTATTCAAGGAAAAAATCTGTAAGGTTGTCTTAATTGTTAACTAGCTCTGTGAAGCCTTCCTGGGTATATGAGAAGTTTGGGGTCTAAAGGTAAATCACCTTTAAGAGCTGATTTACTTAGTGATGAAGAAATTGCATACATTTTCTTTAATACCCTCTCTCACTACACACAGAAGCAACTGCTATGTTTTGGTCTTAAACTATCAGCTCAAAAGGCAAGTTTATCCAGAGACATACAGAACCTTAACGTTCTGGTACATAAAATTTAGTTCTATTAATCCCTACTTGAAAGAGTTTGGTTTTTCATTTAAAATTAGTCACAATGTTACTTGTCTGTGCAGGGATACTCCCTAATTATATAAAACTTACTATTTTATTTTTGGACTGCAGCAACATAGACAGGAATTGACTTCTGGAAAATATTTATCTAATAGATAATTATGTAAGTTCTAGGTACTAAGGACATGTGTTCTAAACTTATCCAATTTGAATAGAATATTAATATATATTCTATAATAACTTCACAGATATCCTGGATACCTTTATAACCTGCCCTATTCTTGCACAGGAGTAAGATATGCAGGTATCTAAAAGACTTTAGACCCAATAGCAGCAACACTGGCATTATTTGGAAGCCTGGCCTAATGGCTGGACGTTATAATAAATAGCATATTTCTCTCTTGACCATTCAAGACTTGACTCTTCTCAATAGCCTAATTATACAGAACAGTGACTTGCTGTATAGAATTCAACATAATTTCCAAAAGAGATACTTTACAGATAAGTCCAAACTTTATTTAAAACTACATTTTAAATTTAACGTTACCAAACATCACAATGGGGGAAAAAATTAAGACCAAAAAACAAAAGAAAGAAAAGAAAAAACCTCACAGTGTATCAAGGCTTGAATCTGTCCAGAATTCAGTTTCTGATGTTTTTAAACTGCCATGGGCAGAAATTAGCACACCTATCAAAAATGCAGTGTCAAACTAATTTACATTTTATACAGATCAAAACAGATGTTTATTTAGTGCCATTTTCATATATGCATTGACTACGTAAAGAGAGAGTCAGATGAGCCTCTGAAAGACATCTCATACACTTTGGGCTCCCACTGTTTCTGAAAAACAGAATAATAATTAATGCCTTATAAAGTACTTAATTATTGAATTAAGACATTACTTACTAGAATTTACTTTAATATTGTTCTCTTCCATTAAAAGTTTTACTTTTAATATAAAGTTAATACAATGGAAATACTAATTCAGTTTGCTACAGTAATTCCCTGATAACACACAGTAAGAGTTTACAAAGAATAGGTGAGGGTTTCAATTTAAGACGGCAGACTAAACAGATATTTCTTGTCTCTCACAAAACCCCACTAGAACTAAATGATAAGAACTACAAAAATGAATAAATCCAGAACAACAAAAGAAAAGTGGTTGTAAGAGAACAGAGCATAAGAGAGATCAACAAATTCCCAGACTGCTCAAAGCAGATGGAGGCATAGTGAAAGAGTGGAGGAAGATGCAGCCTACACACACTACGAAAGGCAGCAGTGGAGATGGGTATCAGCTGAGTTTCTAACAAGCAGAACTGGGATGAAGACTGGGAAATTAATTGAAGGTTTGATACTTGGTCTGCCCTTCTCTTCACCCCATTTCTAGGAAAAAATAAATAAACAAAAAATTTTAAATGATTTTAATCAATTGATGAATTGATAGAGAACAAAAAGAAAATCCTATGACCTTGACACAAGAAATGTTTTCCTCTGAGTGGCCCAGGGGTGCTATTAGACCCATAAAGAAAGAAATCTGGGACTATCACTTGGCTCTGCGATGAATCATATTTATACAGGATCATCTTCAGAAAAAGTATAGAAGATTAATTATTATAGTTACAAAAACAAAATGTGTGTTTACTTTAAAAACCTTAATGTAAGAATATGAGTAAAACTGCACAGAGGCAGATGGAAAAGGGGAGTGTGGTAGTTAGCTGGGTAATGACCAAAGTTGATGGAACTAGAAAATATATATATTTAAAATAAGGTAATAAACAGAAAAAACAAAAATAATATGAATGCTAAAAGGAGAGGTAGGTCTAAATGCTCACTTTTCATAGGGGAGATAAGAGATATTATCTGAATTTTTAAAATTAAGGAAAATTATAAGAACATTATTTAGAGATAGAGAAGGTCTCCTCCAAAAGAACTAAAAACCAATGATTAAAAGAAACGGGCTCTTGCTAATTATCATTAACTCTTTTGTACCTTTCTCACCTTTTGTAAACTTTCTTAAACCATGTACATATAGTACTTCGCTAAAACTGAAGATTTTAAAAATGGAAAAAAAAAATCTGATAATACCATTTTATAAATTAGGCGACTAAAATTTGTACAGAATTGCTTCCTTCCCAATGTCTGGCTTAAATCTTCCAAGTACTAGTAGTGCATTTAAAAAACAAAATGGTAGTATCAAGATTCAGCAATTTTTCAGTATGATATGATTAAAATTGATAACTCTTACCAGGTTCTTTTAGTGTCTGAGAATTCCCAGCTAACTCTTCAGTCTGCATTTCACATATTTCACCAGATAAATGGTTTCTCTGTTCTTCTTCCACCATTTTCTTCCTTAGATCTGCCTTTGGAATGAAAATAAACAATACAAAATCAGTCTTCATCTTAATATTTGTTATATAAAGACAAGCTTAATTAAGGAGAACCAAATACCTCCGAATATATTGTCAGTTTAAGTGGTAAATCTTCAACTTTCACAAAGTCTTCTTCATCAGATTTCTGACTTATGTTACCAGATTCTGCTTCCTGTAAGATAAACAAATTATATTTAATGAAAGCAATCCACTCTATCTTTAGATTGCCTAAACCAAACCAATTGCCCAAATCAAACCCCTGGACTAATTTAAACCAAAGGCATCCACACTAAGAGAGAAAGTGGTTTCTTACATATAAGTATACAACAGTAGTTCTACCAAATTTGGTTTTCTTCTATATTCAGCTCTATGAATAAAACAGAAATCTAGAGTTCACAGGAAGGGCTACATACTTGCAGCTGTGGGCATACTGTTGAGCTTTTCTGCTCCCATTTTATAAAACAAAGAGCCAGTTTATACAGATTAAAGGAAGAAATAGTAATTATACTGAGGGCTAAAATAATTAGAACTCATTTCTTGATATGTTTACAGAATGCATCAAGCTGTATCCAGCACAATATAAGTAAACATTTACAGACTTTCAACATCAACTTTGTGGATGTTCTCGCAACATTTCCCACTCATCTCTCTCTCATTCAGCTCAAATTGTGTATTTATGTGATAATGGAGCTTCCTAACATAGCTTCCTTGAGAACATATCTTATATAGTCATCAGATTCATCTTCAAAAACCATGACTTTGACCATTCCACTTTCTTGGGCAAAAACCTTCAGTATCGTCCCCTGCCTAAAATTAAAATTCAAGACCCTCTATAACCTAACTTCAAGTTAATTTCAATTGAATGCCTCCATAACAACTCTAAGCACTCACCAAATGATAATAAGAATAAATCTAACAGGTAACTTTCAGAGTTTTAAATGCATAATTTTATAGATAGTGAAGTAAACAAAACAATTAAAAAAGTTACTCTTTATACTGTTTTTGAAACATTATAAGCCCCCTTTCTGAGAAATTATGAAATCACAATTGTAAATATATCTTTAGGAAGAAAATTGATGTTAATTAAAAAAATATGTGAAACATATTCCTTAGGCCTAAGTACATTGTTACAAGTAAAGTATATAAAACATACACAACCCAAGGATCCAAAAAATAACCTACTCGCTATAAAATTAAATTGAAAAAAAGGTCCAGAGTAAAACTAAACTTACCTTCTTACATAAGCTCAGATATGCTAGCATATGTTTCGATCATTCACTGTATAGATAAGGACACTACTGCTGTCAAATTATTTTATTTCCCATCCCAAGTATAAACCTTCAGGTTTATTAAAGATTTACGCAATGCTCTAAGTAGCTGAGTGTGGAGCATGGGTAGTGTGAGAGATTAATGATGATTCACGTATCATTATCCCTTCAGATCTGAAACTGAAATCAACTCTCTCAAGGTTGCCACCTAAAACTCATCACCTTGGTTGTCAAAATTATAAAAAGTAGAACAGCTTTTAGGCTTTGAGAGGGTAGTCTTAATTCACTATCATCTTTCTGTTCAAGTTTGAATAAGAAATAAAAATGTTCCAACAGTTTCTAAAGATAAACACAAAGCAGAGTTGTGTTTATGTGCTGAAAATGTTAATCTGAAAATGAAGAAATATGCACAGAGATGAAATGCAAAAATATTTAGTAATGTAAATGATACATACATAGTCATTGACTAACACTGGAGATTCAGTATCAGGACTTCCAGCCAGAGAGCTTTCAGGAGTTTCCTGAGCAGATTTAACTTCTTTGACTCTAGGCACCAGGGTTTCAATTTCAGTTAAAGGTAATGGCAAAGGATTGGGCTGTTTAGATGAGTCAGTGGTATTAAGCAAGTCCTTTTGGACAGTGCTATTTGGAGGTTGCTCATTTTCCAAGATATTGAGGTAACAGGGTTTCACAGGAGTGCTGTCTTGGTCATCTGTCATCAAAAAAGAAAGTTTCAACAGTAGTGTAATGCAACAGTTGTTAAATTTTACTATTACGCCAAATGAAGACAACGTGTATAAATAAGTAATCAAGACATTTAAGACTCAAAGGAAAAGGCAACTACAATGGTTCCCAAATTTGGTTGATCAGATTCATCTGGGGATGTTTTAAAAATGACATTTCTAAAATCCACCATTTTCAGGATAAGGCCCAGGAATGGAAATTTTTTTTTAAAAAAAGCCACATTTATAAAGATGTCTTCCTTGTGGAATTTTTCTGTTTAAATATTTGTCAACTTTTCTTTAATGTCTGTTTGCAGAAACAACGCCCTCTTGTTTTCTACAGTTTTCAGGGGGAGAATAAAGAGATACACTAGGTCCAAAATACCTTCAAACTTACATTAGTTAAGAATTCAGACTTTTTAAGTTTTTAAGCACATACAAAGCACTTTAGATAATCTTCAAGTTGAACACTTATTATATTTCTTACCTTTACTAGTAGAGGGTTCTTGTTCTGATGGGACATTTTTGCTTTCTGCTGATTTTTCAAAGTCATGTTGTAGAACCTAGAAGAAAAAAGAGATGTCTTAACAGCAGGGCCTAAAATATATGGTCACTATATAGGAGATGGTTGCTAGGTGTGTGGCTGTTGTCCAACCTGAGATCTTCATACAAGCGAATTTAAAAATATCTTGTAAAAGTATTTCAAGAAGGACACTGTGTGTGCAATTTCAAGATGGCTAAGTAAAAAGGTTTCCTTTTTTTCTTTTCTTTCTTTTCTTGTTTTTTTTTGCTGAGGAAGATTCACTCTGAGCTAACATCCACTCCCAATCTTCCTCTTTTTGTATGGAGCCACCATCACAGCATGGCCACTGACAGACAAGTTGTGCAGATCTGTGTCCAGGAACAGGACCTGGGCTGCCAAAGCAGAGTGCATGGAACTTAACCACTAAGCTGTGGCGGCTGGCCCTTCCTTTTCTTCTTAAATAACCTCAAAATAATATGGAGAATTGGAATATTATGCATTCCACTCTTTTTTATTATTTCTTTCAGATCAGACTCTATCGTAAATGAAACTTACATCTGTTTATATGTAGACACTAAGCGAATGGAAGAGGAACTGACCAGGAAGGGAGAAAGATAAACAAAGCTAAGTGCCTTCAGCAGAAGAAAAGAACAAAAACTGAGATTCACTCAGAATTATGAAGTGCTAGATTCTAGGATGGAAGGAGTACGGTGGTGGGGTGGGAGCTGGTGATGAAAAAGAGGGTGGTGGTGGTGGTGGTGGTGGCTGAAGCTGTTTAAATATAATGTGGACACCTACATTCCCTCCCCCAACGTCAACAAAAAATGGGAGATTATATTTTGGAGAAAGTGAATTAGTAAGTCTCAGGTTTAGGGGCCACTAGGGGTAGGGGTGTGGTGTGGAAAGCACAAAAGAGAACAGGGTAAGGTGTCATAGTGAAAACAGAAGGATTTAGTGCAAGACTGTAATAATGATGGGACCCTCAGCCCCATCCCTACATTTAATTCCAGAATACTAGCAACCAATGAAGCATACTCTCAGGTAGGAGGAGACTCAAGGACCCTTCTTTGGAGAAACTAAAACACTCCAGAGAAAAGACTTAATAGGTACTGATTTTTGGGGATTTCTATCAAAAAGCTAACTGTCTACCCAATTGCCCTACAGTGAAGCCCAAAAGAACCCTGACCCGTTTTTTGGTATATGGTTCAATATAAACATTGAAGGTAGAGCAAACATTTGAAGAAAGCCTTCAGATGGATAAAAGAAAATGATAATGCTTCCATGAAGTATAGGGTACTGTAAAAAAGTAATGATCAGGAAAACAAAGTCTTTAGAAATTAAAAATATGACAGCTGAAATAAAAATAATTTCATATAAGTGTTAAGGTCAAAGAAATCTCCCAGAAAGTAAAACAAAAAGAGCAATGGGACAATAAGAGAAACAGAGGAGAAAATTAGAAGATCAACCCAGGAAGGTTAATAATGTCTGATAATATTAATTCTAGAAGGAAAGGAAAGAGAAAATGGTGGGAAAGAAATAAAGAAAATAAAAGAAAATTTACCAAACAGAAGGACATGATATAGATTGAAAAGACCTCAAGTACCCTGGACAGTCAGGAGTCGCTTCACGATGAAGTTAGTTCTGAGAAATGGATCGTTAGGCAATTTCGTCATTGTGTAAACATCACAGAGTGTACTTACATAAACCTAGATGGTATAGCCTACTACATACCTAGGCTATATGGTACTAATCTTATGAGACCACTGTCATATCTGCTGGTCTGCCATTGACCAAAACATAGTTATATGGTGCATGACTGTACATGTGAATGAAAAAAGACTCGCAACAATGTGTATCATTGTAAAATCTCAGAACTCCAAGGGGAAAGGTTCTGGAGTGGGAAAGAAAAAAGATATATACAAAGGATCAGAACTAAGAAAGGCATTGAGCTTCTCAACAGCAACGTTGAAAACTACAAGACAAAGAAACAGTGCTTTCAAAGATCTGAGGGAAAATGATTTTCAACATGGAAGAATTAAGATTTTCTTAGACATATAAAGTCTCAAAATCTTAAAGTTACTGGAAGATGTACTCCACAAAAATGAGGTAATAAGCCAAGAAGACAAAGATTGGATTCCAGACACAGAGATCTAATTAAGAATGACAAAGAGGATTCCCAGGCTCGGTCCAAAGAGCCAAACCTAGAATGGAGCAGGAGAGGGGAGTGCTTCAGGAAGGACAACAATGAAAAAAACCAGTTGATGTACAAAATTTTACTGGGAGGTTTCTACAGCTCTTGGAGGGCACAGCAAAGACCTGGGTATATGTTCAAAGAAAATTAAGTAAATAAAAAATTGAGATGACTATTAAATTCAGATGAAAAAATGTATAAGACTAAGCAATCAACAATATTTGCTTAGCTCAGCAGTCAGTAATATTTATTAAATATAGATTTAACCAAAACATATAATTAAATGAGAAGGAGTTCTAAGTGACCTAAAAATCTTCAGCCTACTGTAATAGGAAGTCCACAGATAACGTCTAATACATAAGTGAGTAAATAAGTACACACTTACATATTATTTAGAAATATGGCAGTAAATAGCATAAGAAATCATACAAAGTGTTGCCTCTGGGATAGGATGAGATGGAGGTAGGAAAGGGAATTATTTTATTTTGTTACATACTATTTCCATACATGACTAGGAAAAATATAAAGATAAATTAAATTTAAAGATCTTCTGAAGTAATCGCATAATTTTTAGGACTTGGTAGGAAAAAAAAAAGATTACAGTGCTTTAAATTTAAGCACTGATCAACACAAAAATAAACTATTGTTTCACATTTCAATAAGGATATTAAAAAGGTTTGTATTCATGAAAATGAGAATGGGGAAGCTGTAAATTTGGACATCTTTAAAAAGGATCCACTTTTAGTAGTTAAAATAAGACTGGTGGAAGATGTGTTAGTCCACACCGGAATACCTGATCATCATGTTCATTTTCTTCTGTAGTTTCAGTGTTAGCCTGAAGCGAAGTCTGGACATCTACAGGTCCCTCTTCAAATTCTTCTATTTCTTCATCTTCATTCTCATCTTCTCCACTTCCATAATTAGTCAAAGCCTGAGTTTCAGCTTTGGACAAATCTAAGTTGATTAATATACAATTTTTAGTAAATTTTCAGCACTTAATAGTTGCCATTTGTTGCATTCCTGCATTGTGCAAGTGCTTTACATACAATATCTGAAATCTTCAAAACAGTAAGTACTAGAAAACCGTGGTGCAGAAAAGACAGGTAATTTAGTCAGGGTCATACTGGAATGTAAATTCAGAGTTGTGTGACACCTAATTCTATATGCATTACACTCCACCAACCTGTTTCAATAAGTGATATATAAAGATCTAATGTATAAACCTAGCAGAGAGCCTTTAAACTTACTAATAGACACTGGACATTCTTCACTTTCTTCATCTTCCTCTTGATCAGAAACATCAGATCTCACATTTTTGGGACCATCACCATCATATACCTCAGAAGTCTGAGTCTGCTTAACTGTCTCAGTCTCATCCTTGTCCTAGCCACAAATAAATTTGAGTAATTAATTCCTTGGAGTACATTTTTAAAAGGTATATAGTAAGTCTATCATAGAAATTAATAATAGTCATCACCTAATAAAAAATACAAAGAAGCATTTTTGACAGTTTAGTTTTTTGGGGATTTTTTTGGCGAGGAGGATTGGCCCTGAACTAGTATCTGTTGCCCATCTTCCTCTTTTTGCTTGAGGAAGATTGTCACTGAGCTAACATCTGTACCCATCTTCCTCCATTTTCTATGTGAGATGCCGCCACACAGGGCCAGCCCCATAGTTTTGCTTTTAAAAGAAAATAAAGGTTTGTCAGAAGGACATTTGATGATATAGTTTGCTCTCAAAGATTAAAGCTGTTAAAATTATTTAACCTTTTGTTTCAAAAGCATTATTTGTAGGCACAAATTAATTAGCACATACTTTGTCTTCATCATCAATTTCTCCAGCAGGTGAGCCATGATCTCCTTCAAGAATCCTTTTGGCCTATAAGCAAATCAATTAACCAGAATTTAGGGGTAACCTCTCAGCATTACATTTAGGCATTCAGTTAACTTTGACAAATGCTACATTTTTTGACCATTATCCAAAGAGTTAAATGCTTTCTTAGAAATGTAAATTCAACTCTTTTATTTAAATCTTTTAAATTAACAAAACAAAAAGCCACACTGCCTACCTGTTATCTTCTTGGATATATATGAGGGATCTCAAACTTACTAAATTCAAAACAAAATTCTTGATTCCCTTCCTTCCAAAACCCGTCTTCCTTCAGTCTTCTCAATCTCAGTAAACAGTCCTTTGTATTCACCCAAATGCACAAGTCAGAAAACTAGGAACCAACCTGTGCTTTGCTTTTATTATCCACATCTAAACCATTAGAATGCCTTACTGACTCAGTCATCAAAATGTACCTGTGGTTGCACACTCAAAGCTAAGACACATCATTTCCTACCTGGACTCTTGCAATAGCCTTACAACTGGGCTCTCTGTTTTCTCTCTCTACTCTCCTACAACTCCTGTTCAGTAGACAAATCTTTTAAAGTGTGCGTGAGAGCATGTCGCTCCTCTATTTCAAACTTTCCCATGGGTTTCCATCACGCTTAGAACAAAAGAAAATATAAGGTCCTTATCACAGTTTCTAAGGTCCCACAATTTGGCCTTATCTACCTCTGTGACCATATCTCCTACACTCTCACTTAGTTCATGTAATGGGTTCCTGCCTCCCTGGCCCTCTCTATTCTCCAAACTGCTCAGTCCGGCCTTAGAGTCTTTACATTAACCATTCTGCCTGGAATGCTGTTCCCTTTCATCTTCACTGTAAACAACTTCTTGTCTTTCAGTCTTTAGCTTGTATTTCACCCCCTCAAACAGCCTCGTGAGACTGCTCTAAAGTAGCCCTTCCGATCATTTATTATGGTATTCTATTTTCTTTAAGCTCTTAGCAATGGCTGGAATGATATGAAACTTATTTATGTCTAGAATAAAAACATTGTGAAAAGTGTGAAATAGATGCCTTGACATTATCTACTTTAGATTTCAGGAAGAAGGGTTATCTTTTTCTGTTTTGGATCTTGACCTGCCTTCCTTCTCATGATTAGAGAATGTCTAGGAAAAAGCCTCCTGGTGTGCCCCAATTTGGGGGGCAAACACCCTACCCAATTTCATATGCGATCAAGACTAATTTAACAGGATATAAGAAGCTACATGGATGTGCAATCAAAGTCCTAACTAATATATAAGCATGTGTGTTGGCTGGGGTGATAAATATTCCTGGAGAATCTACTGAGGTTGGCAATAGCCACGGCAGGCAGCTCAAGGATTGGATTCCAGTCCTCCTCTGTTAAAGGAGACCTGAGTAAGTGACAATAATGTGAATTGGATATCTGACAATTCCTGTCTGCGTTCCTGATTTTTAGCCACTGCTATTACTCCTGAGATTCAGTATGTGGCTAATACACACACTGATTTATAAACTGATTAACTGATATTACTAAAAAGAAATACTTTGGCTGAGGTCAAGTATGATTTTAGTTATTAATAATGATCAAGGAACTATATTTATATGCTAATTATTACTCCTAAAATCAAAATGAATGTTATTTACCTCTTTGGCATAAGACTGTATCACTCCAGCTGCTTCTATTTTCCTTTTGCATCTCTGTTTAACAGTTATACTATTATTATCCAAATCTTGCATGAGCTTAAAGAAGGCCAATTCATTAAACAACACTTCAGATATTTCTACAAGAAGATCTTCTCCACAGTCTTTCAGTTTTCTGCCAGCAAATTTTGCCAGTGAATCCTATTCAAAGATAAACCAAATAACTTCAAGATTATATTAAACTTCAGTTGTGAGTAGAAGAATACAGACGATTAACAGGTTTAAATTATAATATTCACCTAAGGAAAAACCTTTTTTTTTTTACTTTTTAGTAGTGAAAAACTTAAAACTACTGGCTAAGATTCTTAATAATGTTAATATTACTCAAGAATACTACTAACTAGGAATCTTGCTAGTCCTGCTTAAAGAGTAAACAGAAGGAGAAGAAAAGAACATGCGGCCGTCCATAGATTTAGTCCCTACTTAACATAACTTCTGGGCACAAATGAATAAAACAGGGGAGTCCTAATCCCAAAAGAGTTCCCACACAGTACTGGGGATACATATATACTAGAAGTCGAAGTGCCCTGAGAGAGGAAAATACAATCTTCCATGTCTAAGTGATACCATTAGAGCATTTGTCAAGTTTCCCCCACTATATAAGCCGGCCAGTCCTTCTAATTTAAACTTTTTCTTCAGAATCAGTCTAAAACTAAACTCTAGTTCTATTCAAGTTGACATACAGCATCATCAAGTGAACAAGTCTGCTATATTCTACACATTTTTTATAAAAACTGCTTTTATTTTTCTTTCTTCCTAAAAACATGGACTATGCTATTTAGAAAACAGGCCAACAACCATGACGTTTGATGTTCCTCTCTCCCAAAAAACTACCTTATCTAGCACGACCATGGAAAGAAGTATGAATGCTGGTGTCTTGTGAAAAAATTTCATTTCATAAAGTTTCATAAGAAAAAAAGTAGAAGACAGTAATTTAAGCTCTACCTCATGAAAATCTTCAATACTGTGAGCAAGATTTAATGTAAACTAAGTTTTATTTTTCCTGTAGGTGCCCCCTTGGGAAAAAAGCAGTCAGATTTTCTTAGACTTAGGGAAAAAAATATTATTTCCAAGTTAATATTTTGGAATCTGCCCACAATTATATAACAGGCAAAACTGAGGAAGACCTGGACTGCATGATCTTGATAAACAAAACGATTTAAATTATAAACAATTTCTCTTTCAGCCTGATTCTAAAATGCAGTTCTTTCTTTCTGTAGGAATAAGCTAGCCAATTAAATGTATAAAAACACATTTATCTAAAAGTTAACATTTTTAAATAATGCATAACAACACACGTCTTATATTCCTTACAACTTATGTGTTAAGAATTAGATTAAATACAGCCAGGACAATTTAGAACCCATTACTGAATTTATACTTTAGCCTAGGGTTTTAAAAACATGAAGAGACAAAGTGATAGTTCTGTCTCTAAAACCAATTTAAACACAGGAATAGGAAGAAAGGAAAAGTTCTATAGGAAAATTTTCTAATTAAGATGAAAAGAAAAATATATTCTCTAGTTTGGAATGTCTCCTGGGAGGCAAAATCATCCCTTAACATAATTTAAAGTTACTGTTACAGCCTAAAAAGTCTCTAAAATCAAAAGCTGGTTTCTGGCTTGTAAAATTTCCCAGATTGGTAAAAAATTATTTTAGAAAATATCATAGAATACTTTCTAAATATTTCAAACTTAAAATGTTCTTACTGGGTAGGAGAAAAATAAAAACAAAATTTTACCAGAGTTGGGACAGACTCTGGAGATGATCAAGTTAAATGAAGACACAGGCCCTAATACAATGTTCTTTTTAACTAAGTAAAGAAATAACCTAAAAAGTATTAAAATTTCATCTCAAATGGATGTTAGAATGAATATCTACTTGAATAAGTTGTGTGATACCAGAAAATTGAAAAAAAAAGATCCTAACCAGCTGGTACACATTGATAAGTCAACCAAGTACACTCTTACCTGTAAAATACTTCCAAGCTGTTTATGAAAGAACTTTACAAACTCTTTGCTCTCATCATTTTGCTGGGTAAGGGTCAAAACCATGCGTCTTACTGAAGTTAGAAGTTGAGAAGAGCATACTTCATCCATGTGCTCCTGAGAAAAACCCTAGTTGGTTAGGATATAAACTTATCTATTGCTTAAAAAATATTACTCCACATAATATGAGATTTGATTTTTCTTCCTTCTCAACTTTCAGATGTATGTTTGGAAATATTCGTTCAAAAGAATAACTGCTAAACTCCCACTCAACACACGTTAAGAGGTTTGCAAATTTCGACTCACCATAGCAGCTAATAGCCAGTGGAGGAAACTGGCTGATTAAATACTTTTCATCACTTCCTTTCTGTACCTTCAGGAGATCTACTCATGCCATAGTCTCTGTATTGCCTAACTTCTGATTTGCAGTTCAGTTCATTTTAACTACTCTTAAACCATATTCACCTTCTACAATTTCCTCTCTATAATCTTCTGACTCAGGCTTTCTCTCTCAGCACTCTTGACACCCTGTGCATTGCAGGTTGGTTAGCAGCACTCTGGCCTCTACTCACCAGATGCCAGTAGCACCCTCCCCACTCCCAAGTCCTGACAACTAAAAACATATCTAGACATTAAAAAATGTTTTTAGGGTGAAAATCACCCCCAGTGAGAACCGGTGTCCTAATGTTCTTAACAAGCAAGGATGTAGAAACTACACAATAATCCAATTCATGGTCAACTTTCTGAGATGAGCCCATAAAACATCCCTATCAAGTAACCTCAAGGTTCTAAGCCCTTCTCCTGCCCCTAAATTCATTTGGGCAGATCCTCTAACCTTTACTCAGGGTAAGTTTGCATTTTGCATTTTTTTTCCTCTATACAAATGTGTAAAATGAGATGGCCAAACTAGATGATGTCTAAGTTCCCTTAAATCCAAGGATTTAAGCTCATTTTTTATAAAGTCAGGTGTCAAGGCAGGCACTTAAAAAAAAAAAAAAGACACTAGTCCCCTGTCTTCAAGGGATCTCAATCCAGTAGAGGAGTCAGATACAGAAATAGTCAGTCACTACAAGCTATGCACCAGCCAGCAGATGATGCTTTTTAACTACAGGGACTGCTTCTTATTCATCACCTAGCACAGTGGCTAGCTCACAGGAGACGTTCATTACTTCCTGAATAAATAAATATCATTAAAGCAGCACACACTTGGTGCTACATAAGAAGCTGTGGTAGCATATTAGAGGCAACACCACATATCTCTGAAGAAAGGATATTCAGCCAGGCAGAAAAGAGTGAAGGTATTTTATATTTTCGATACTGACAACTTGTACAAAGGGCTGATATGTGAAAAAGTAATGGCAGGTACGGGAAATGCTGAGTATCTGAAGTGAGTGTACCTGGATGGAGAGTGGTGAGAAATGAAGTTGGAAAGTACACCAGATCCAGTGGTGGAGTCTCTTGAAGGCTAAGGAGTTGGCTTAATAAACATTCACTTCCTGCCTATTGTGACAGGAAGTCTAGGCAAAAGATAAGGACACGAAGTAAGGTTATGCTATTGGAGAGAAGGGAGCAAAACTGACTGCTCTTAGAGGAAAAATTCATTTTGACTCACTGGTGACAGAGAGTAAGACAGGGTCAAGAAGTCTGGCTTAGATGACTGTGTATAATGCCAACATGAACAAAGAAGTTCTATAATCCTACCAAAAGTCAAGATTTAAGTGAAATGAGACATAATAAAATAGTTAAAATCAGATCATTAATTCTCATTTTGTTGGCTCCAGAAACTTTTTGAAATGCTAAATTTAGTAAGGGAATCCTTATGAAAGAATATCACTTAAATCAGACACAAAATGGTAAATGCAACAAAATTTCCGAATTGCTTTCCCTAAGCAGAAAGCTAAATCATTTAGATTTTTCAAACTTTAAAAAATAACTTACATATCAAATAGATATTACTACCAATATACCTAATTTAACCAAAAAAGACATGTTTAAAAGTAATTACTGCATTACTCATGATAAAAAAAACGCAAAGGAAAAAAGCTAAATTTTGTAATTATCTATGCCTAAGATGGAAGCAAGCAATAACTTATATAGCTTAAATCAACTCCCTTGAGGGAATGGTTTCAAACTCTTAAATAAATATCTACCTATCTATAAGAATACATACATAGGGGCCAGCCCCATGGCCAAGTGGTTGGGTTTGCATGCTCTGCTTTGGCGGCCCAGGGTTTCGCCGGTTCAAATCCTGGGCGTGAACATGGCACTGCTCATCAGGCCATGGTGACGCAGCATCCACATGCCACAACTGGTAGGACCCACAACTAAAAATACACAACTATGGTACCAGGGGGCTTTGGGCAGAAAAAGGAAAAATAAAATCTTAAAAAAAAAAGAATATATACATATTCTTATAATTTATAGGAATATAAGTATTTTTTTTTGGGAGGCAAATAGATATTTCACAAATAACAGGAGATAAATTCATTGAATAACTGGTGAAACTGAAGTATTTGTCTTATCTCCTCAAATTCCCTTTATCTGAAGTCCTGCTTGGGTGAAACTACTAAGAGATTTAAAAACATATTATTCTAAGTAAGGAGGCACATGCCAATAATGATGACACTTTTTCATAAGTGTTATAATAAAGGCATGTACCAAGTATCCCAGGAGCAGTGGAGAGAAGGAGGAATTCTGCCTGTTGAGACATGCAAAAATATTTGGGCTGGGTCCTGAAGGATAAGACTGACACAGAAAGGGTGGAAGGGCATTCTAGGCAAAGGAAATAACATGGGCAATCTATCTTTTTGATCAACTTTAAGAAAGAAAAAAGGTATGTGGGAAAGAATAGTCAAGAGGCTGGGACCAGGCTGTAAAACGTTTTATGAGCGATGTTGAATGTGATCTGGATCCTATGGGCCAGTTGTTTTCAAACTATACTTCTTAGAGGCCAAAAAATTTAATTAGTTTGAAAAACCACAGCTGAGGTTTGAAGGATCCATACATTTATTAATTCAATCAATACATGTCTACTGAGGGCCTACTATATGTAGGTACTATAAGACAGTGACCACACAGATTCACATCTCTGACTTCATGGAGCTTACATTTTAACTGGGAGACAGATAAAACAAATAGGCAAATATTAACTGAATTAGAAGGTGACAAGCACTATAGAGATAAAGAAAAGCAGGTAAGGAGTAGGAGATCTGCTCACAAAAAAGGTAACATTTGAATAAAGACCTTAAACGTTCAAGGGAACCTTATTAAACACGCAGGTATGTGAGGGAAGAGCATTCCAGGCAGAAGTATCTGCAAGTGCCAAGGCCTTAAAAGTACTAGCAAGGCTAGCAAGAGAGTTGAAAGATTAGAAAAGGAAGCAAACAGAGACAGAAAGACCAGTTAGGAGCTGTTCAAGTTGCACAGGAAAAGGCTAAGTTTTTCAGTTTTTACATGGAATAATTTGGGCATAGACAGGTGAACCTCTCTCTCCTCTTGGATATGAAGCCTCTTCATAGAAAGCGTTTCTATAGTTACATTCTCAAAGATCTCTCTTCTCTCAAAATATTCCAAAGACAGCAATTACTTCCACTGAGGGAAGAAATACAAGTGTATGGAAACAACTTTGTGTTGTCAATGTCTTTCACATTGACAAGTTCAAGTAGGTTTTAAGAAATGAGCCCAATGATAACATATTCTGTAGTTCCCCATATCTGAATGAAAACAGTCATTTCTAATTTTTAGAATTTCCACTTTAAATTAGAATGTGAAACAGTGCCATCTCAGAAAAAGGTTCTGTCTTTATATTCTATTTGCGTGCATACTTCTTTCTCTGCCCTGTTCAAGTACTGCTTATTAGTCTCATACTCTTACTATTGGTAGGAATATAAATGATTAACTTTCCTGAGGGACAATTTAGCATGTCTCAAAAGCCTTAAAAATACTCATATCCTTAGAGCTAGAAATTCTATGTCTAAGAATTATTTCTAAGGAAATAAAAACGGGATACATATTTAAATTTAGCTAAATCATATAAGTATGTCTATAATAGTGAAAAAGAAATCAGAATAAATACAAATGTTTAACAATAGGAACTGACAAAATAACTAATAGAAAATTCTATTCTATGGATACTCAACCTTCACAGTAACAATCAACATAGCTGACTACTAGCAGTCTACTTGGTCAACTCTGGCTCTTCCTCTTTCACACAGCCTCTAAATGTTGGATCACCTGGTCCTGGGAACGAGTCCTAGGCCCCTTTCTTTTACCTAGTGCCATGCTCGAGGTGACCCTATCTACCGTTAATAGAACCTCTTGATTTCCAAAATATATTCCAGTTGTCTACTTTTCCACACCTTTGTCTAAACCACTGTCATTTCTCATCTGATCTCATTGCACTACTGACCCATTGCACTACTGAATAAATTCTCCACAAACAAGACTTTGCATAAAACCTTCTAGGAGTTTCCCTTTGAACTTCAAACAGTCCTAACTCCTAATCATGGCCTATAATGTTCTACATAACTAGCCCCTGCTTCCCTCTCCAACTTCATCTCACACAAATTTCCTACAAGCACACAGGTCCTTCCTCCAGTTCCGTCAACATGCCAAGCTAGTTCCCACATGAAGACCTTTCACTCTGTCTGGAATGATCTTGGTTTAAGCTGGTCCCTTATTCACATCTGTGTTTAAATGTTCCCTCTTCAGAAGCCTTCCCTGACCATCTAGTCTAAAACAGATACCATCATATTAGCATATCTTAACTCTCCACATGGCACACATCACTACCTGATAACACATTTACTTATATGTTTTATATTTATTTTGGGGCTCATATTCTCATTCCAGCATGTAAGCTCCACGAGAGCAAAGGCCCTGATGTGTTCACTGCTATGTCCACAAAACTTGGCATAAAGTAGGCATTCTACAAATATTTCTGAATGAATAATGAATGAATATTGTGTAAACATTTAAACATATGCAGTAGAAAAATAGTGATGGCGAAAGATGTTTATGACATAATATATGAAAAAAGCAGAATGCGCATATACATGTATAGAATATTACAGAAAGTCTCACAAAATGTTGACGGGGCTATTTCTAGGTAACAAAATTATGGTGCTTTTTTCTTTGGTTTACCTGTATTTTCTGAATTTAATAAAATTGAGTCTTTTGTACAAATTAAAAAAACAAAACACATAAAGCTTATTTATTTTTAAACATTTCTGCCTACCTTCAAAAAAGGAATGACTTCTTTCATAATTGCTTTAATTTGCCGGTCAAGCTGCTGAGTGTCAATTCTAGGACATGGGACAGTAGAAGCTTCACTGAGAGGTTGTTGTGAACTATGATTTTCAATAACAGGAGTTTCTGTTTTAAAAAGAAAATGATACATTGGCAAAATGAAGTCTATGACATTATGCAAATGCATTTATGCAAAATTCTAAAGAATATTAAATTCTGATGATTTTATGCTAAAATAATATAAAGAAATTGTCTGTAGTTTTAGCACCCCTAATAATGAAAAGAAAGTGAGTAAAAAACCACTCTTATACCTTAGGTGGGGCTTTTTTTATATACGGAAATATGATTTTTACTTTTAATCAATTCAAGAACACACCTTCTAAATTATTAGTCGTAGTTGTGGCAGCAGCACCATCTTCATCTTCAATAATCCAGGTGCATCTTACATTCGTGTTACTCTCAGCCTCAGTCTTCATACGCTCATATTCCCTCATTCTGGCTAATGCTTGATCTAGGTGAATCACAGTGTTACCTGCATATGGAACAGAAATATTTCTAGAAGTTACAAAAGCAAATTGTTTCATGTATTCCTCCAAAGTTATCAACAAAAAAATACTATCTGAATGTAGGGAAGAAAAACTAGCTTTAACAAGTTCCAGATACCGTACTAGCTGGGTACTTGGCATACATTATCACAGTGATTTATTTAATCCTTAAAATAACCCCATACAGTAGATGAAAGTACCCTCATTTTCAGGAAACTTAAGTAACCTGCCCAAGGTTTCACAGCCAGTTAAATGTAGGAGCAGGGATTTGAACTCAGGTCTCTTAGACTCTGAAGTCCGTATTTATTTCACTACATCATGTTGCTTCACTTAAACAGGACAACAAAAATAAATTCCAAATCTGCAAATGCTGATGCAAATAATCCAACCTAACAGAAGCACTTAAGGTAAGGAAAAGGCCTAAGAATGAGCTTTCCCAATTATCCTTTGTCCACTTCAGACAAAGCTAGTGGTGAAGGATTGTGAGAAAAAAATCAGTAAATTAAACAAAACAGGTAGGACTCAAAGTCACTTGGTAACTCAGAAAGGGAGAGAACTGAGGGGAAAATGGGGGCCACAGAGTGATTTTTCTATATAATGGGATGAGCTCAGTACAGACTTGGTAGGTATTTACCCAGAAGGGAGCTAGGGCTTAGAGGCCTTGATAATCAGGATAAGGCAAAAGGAAAACTTATTGCTTTGGTAAAAGGTGATACCTAAGGACAGGACAAACCTTGGCCCTTTTCTTTGTACTGGAAAAAATGTCTTTGAAATCATCTAAATCTTGTTCTCATCCTATGAACACGAGAATACGGAGACATTAGATTACTCTATCAACCAAGTGCCCCGGAGGTCTGAATGACTGAATACTCGGGTGTATTTTGATAGGTTACAGCCTGGAAAATGAAATCAGCTACCTACACTTTTTTCTTTTCCCTAATCTCCTTTCCAAATTTAGGACTCGGGTTTTTTTTTCTTTTTGAGTTATGCAACCCTGTAAAGCTTCTTTTGTTTTACTACTGATGAAAAAAATGCAGTGTGCTATGCCTGAGAGAGTTACCTGGGTTTCTCACTAAAGATTATTTATGCTAAGAAATTTTAGCTCTTCCCTCAAATTATGAAGTTAACATTGCTAATTGAAAATACGATTGGATGAGGCATGGTTACCTCTGAATTCTTCCCATTGAGTTACTGAAAGACATTAAAGGATGACTCTTCCCTTAAGGGAAAGGAAATTACCATTTTTTGAACTTCTATTATACATGCTAGAAGTTCCGTATATTTTTCACACGAACATAGCAAAGTAACTAAGATCCCCATTTCCATAGTATATGCAGAGTCAGAAAGGTCAGATAATTTGCCCAAGGTCAAAGAGTGAAACAGCATATTCTTGAATTTAGACTGATGGATAGACTTTTAAGCCCATGTTTTTTCAACCACGTTGATTTTCTAGACTTTTGTTTCCTCATCAATGCAATTCAAAGACTGTATTAAAGTCATGTTCTAAGATTATAAAAAATTCTGCTTACCTAGATCATCTGTTGCAAAAGGCTCAAAATTTGAAGATACAGACATGACGCTAGCATTATCAGCATCATTTTGCTCACTTATTTTATGTGCCTCTCTCTCAAAGTTCTTCTCAAAAGTTTCCTAAGTTACAGTTTTAAAAAAACAAATAAAAAATCACTAATATTTCTTTTAAAAATTTCATGATTAATATTAAAAATATAACATAGAAACTCAGTATCTGCATAAAACTATACACTTAAAATTGCAATATACCTTAAGTTATAAAAGGTTGAATACAGAGTCACAGAAAACATTAAAATATTAAGTAACTTTGCAGAACACTTATTATATAGATGAAAATACACAAAGCCAGCTATGGATTAAATTCTAACTAGGTAAAGTTAACATTTTAAATTATTTCTACACCCTCAGGGAAACTCTCCTATCTCCAAACCCTAACAGCATCTAGTACCTTACTAAGATATCTGGTTGTTTCAAATCAGAAGAAAAACATGACAGCATCATCCATATTTTTTTAAATCTATTTTATTGAAATACAATTTACATACAACAATTCACCCATTAAGTGTACAGTTTGATGAGTTTCCAAAACTATCTCCACCCACATAACCACCTTCCCTAAAGACAAAGACTATTTCCATCAGCACAGAAAGGTCCTCCGTACCCCTGTGCAGCCAATCTTCACTACAGCCCACTCATATGATTTTTATCACTGCAGACTGATTTTGCTGGCTCCAGAACTTCATATAAATGGAACCATTCAGTATATATTCTTTGGTGTCTGGCTTCTTTCACTCAGTATCTTTGTGAAATTAATCCATGTTGTTGTATTTCAGAAGTTCATTATTTTTTAATGGCTGAATAGTATTCCATTGTACGGAAATAGCACAGTTTGTTTATCCATTTATCTGTTGATGTTCCAGTTTGAGGCTATCATGACAAAAGATGCTATGAACATTAGTGTACAAGTATTTTTGTGGACATATGTTTTCATCTCTCTTGGATGAATACCTAAAAGAAAAATTGCTGGGTCACGTGCCAAGTTTGTTTATAAGAAACTGCCAAACTGCTTTCCAAAGTGGTTGTACAATTTTACAATCCCACAAGCAGTGTGAGAGTTCCAATTGCTCCATGTTCACACGAACGCTTCCTACTGTCAATCTTTTTAATTTCAGCCTTTCTAATGGGTGTGAGGTAGTATCTTATGTGGTTTTAATTTACACACTGGCCATTATATAGTTATCTTCTTTCATGAAGCACATGGTTCAAATCTCCTGCCCATTTTTTACTGAGTTGTTAGTCTTACCATGGAGTTGTAAAAGGTCTTAAAATAGTCTAGATTTGTCTTTTATATAGTCATTTGTCAGATATACGTACCGAGATTATTTTCTCCTAATGTATCTTTTGAAAAGCAAGATGATTTTATTTTTATGAAGTCTTATCAATTTTTTCTTTTATAGTTAGTGCTTTCCATGTCCTAAGAAATCTTTGCTTATGTCAAAATCATGAAGATTTTCTTGTTTTCTTTTAGAAGTTTTGTAGTTTTAGCTTTTTCAGGACCTCACGGTAGTTTCAAATTAATTTTTGTGTTGTATAGTGTGACGGGGGAGGAGTCTCACTTATATTTTGACTGAAACTCATTTTCACAATAGTGTTCTTTCTCCTAGCTATTGATCTTTTAAAGTTTTCTCTTAGATTATGAAATGAAAGGTTTGTCCCTGATTAAAGGAGATTCAGGCATTAAGGAACACGTTTTAGGAAATGAAACCATTTTGTTGCTCCTTCAAGTAAGACTTGAAGATAGATGTGCTTTTGCCATTTTATAACACCTGGAGAAGACGACAAAAAGTGTTTCTTCCTCTCCCTAAACCTCAATTCCTCATCGTCCTTGACTTATAATTTCCAGAGGCCTACTTTTACGACTCTCTTTCCTGGGCATAAGGACTCTTTTACACTCTGAAATGTGTGTGTAAAATATCCATAAAAGGAGCTCAAAGGTCCTTGACCTAGAAGCATGGAGAATGAGACTCTATCTGCCCAATATAGTAACCAGCAGCCATGTGGCTATTTAAACTAAATAAAATTTAAAATTTAGTTCCTCAATCCCACTAGCCACATTTCAAGTGCTCCACAGCCACACGTGGCTAATGGCTACTGTAATAGACAATGCAGACATAAAACACTTCCATCACTGTAGAAAGTTCTACTGGACAGCATTGCTCTAGATCCATGGGTATGAACACTGGACATTGTGCTCTTCTTGCTGATTAAATGGCACTAATAAAGGGAAGATGGTGACATTAATGCTGAATTTATGTTTTGGATGAAAAATTAAAGATCTGATTTAGTTATTTAAAAGTAATACTAAGTACAGTTATTGATGTCAAGTCCCTATAGTTATGGACTGAATGTTTGTGTTCCCCCCCAATTCCTATCTTGAAGCCTTAATTCCTAATGTGATAATAGGAGGTTGGGGCCTTTGGGAAGTTTAGATGACGTGTCATGAGAGTGGAGCCCCCATGATAGCATTAGTGTCTTTTTAGAAGAGGAAGAGATACCAGAGCCTCCTCTGACTGCAATGTGAGGATACAGGAAGAAAGCTGCTGTCTGCAAGCCAGGAAGAGGGCCCTCACCAAGAACTGAATCTGCTGGCACCATGATCTTGGACTTCCCAGCCTTCAGAACTGTGAGAAATAAACGGCTGTTGTTTAAGCCATCCATCTACAGTATTTTGTTCTATCAGCTTGAGCTGACTAAGACACTTACTTATTAAGTAGTATATTTTAAATTTTATTTAACTTGGAAACCTTGTCAGGTTAACTTTATCATAAATTGTAGCTAAATTTTCAAAATTTGCTATTGATGGTGCAAACCAATGTGCTCAAATCTTTTAAAATAATTGGAAGTAATGCTGCCTTATATGAAATTTTGATAAAAAGGGAATCACTGGGATTAAGGATACAAAATTAGGTAAAAAAGATTTCTAAGAACAGACATGCTTCATGCTCTCTCAGTAAGTTATTTCAATGCCTAATAAACTTTAATATAACCTAATACCTCCTATTTTTCACGTATACAGCTGGGACTACTTTTCATTTCGCACAGAAAGGAGTACACAAATTTTCAATTAGGTTCTAACAATCTCAAGCAGCAATTACTCAATTGATATTTGACATTGTAAAGTCAGTTAAGACCATGTAGTTTTTAGACACAGGTTTCTATTCACAGTACTATAAGAGTTGAAGCCTGGTGGAGAAAGGTTTTAAGGGTAAAAGACGACTTGCAGAAGTACTGTTTTAAACATGAGTGTAAGTTAAAAAGCAAAAATTCAGAAAAAGTCCTAAATAGTTTTAAGGAAATTACTAGTCATGTATCACTTAACATCGGGGATATGTTCTAAGAAACGTGTCATTAGTCAATTCCGTCAGTGAGTGAACATCATAGAGCATACTTAACACAAACCTAGAATGTATAGCCTACTACACACTAGGCTATATGGTATTAATCTTATGGGACCACCATTGTATACGCGGTCCATTGCTGACCCAAACATTGTTATGTGGTGCACGACTATATATGTGAAGCAGAGACAAAATAATCTTTGAGAAAATACTATCTTTTCAGAAAAATTATAATGTTCAACATATCAACAATGGGCAAAAACAGTAATATGCTTCCAACTCTCTACCTACAGCAGATATTTGCTAATCCATTATGGCACTCTTATCCATGAACATCCAGGTGCTCGAGTTGGCATAAAGAAGAATGCATTAGTTATCCCAGGACCACATATAATTTTCTACAACAGAATCAGGGTCTGGACCTTTAAATAGGTGATTTCCAAACACCTAGCACTCCTCAGTATCCCAGGAATTTGCCGTTCAGTCACTCAATCACCTATGTGCTAGGGAGGTGCTATCTGGAGGACACAGTTTACTGAAAACATAACATTTTCTTCACCACTCTTTGCTATTTCCAAGTCTTTTTTACTTTATTCAAAATTTTCTTCATCCATTTGAATACATTAAATTATATTTTTTTCCTGGATGACTTTCTTTTGTCTAGGCTTCTCTTCTAACCCAAAGACCTGATTCTGTCTTGTACTTATTTATTTAAGGGTTCTTACTGTGATCTGATTGCTGTCTGGTTTACCGAATGTCTTGAATGAACACAACAAATTTTACTGAATGTCTGTTATTAGTCAACTCCTATGCTGGGCAATGGAGATATAAATACAGCTATTTTAGATCTTATAATCTACCATTTATACATAATTTTTGGTGTTTGACTGCTGCCATATTTTGAGTGAGTTTTATACCTCATCTGAAAATAAAGCAATGCATTACACCCAGCTTTTTAAAAAAGCTAAAACCCAAACATATTAGGTATACTCACAATTTATAACAACCTATTTAACTTTTGTTTACTGCATACTGAAATTATGTCTACATTTCACTAAAAATTATCAGCTTACATCATCAGTAGTAGCAAGGCTTTCACTGGGAGTAAGTTCTGAGTTTGATGCGATCCAAGTACCAGAGTTCACTGACTTTACATTTTCCCCTTCTTTTTCATGGTTCTCAGAAATATGTCTGGATACTATGTCCTAAACAAGGAAATAAGATAATTATTTATGTAAAACATATACATTTAATCACAAATTTAAAAGCAGAAGCAGACAGAAGAACAAATACAATATTCCTCATCTCAGGTTAAATGCGAGGAAAAAATAACAAAGATAAAACACTGAAATTTTCTCAGAAAAAGACTATCTAAAAGCTACTTAAGCTATACAAGAAGTTTTAAATAAAATGGCAAGAAAGCACATAGAAAACAGATCAAAATACATACGTAACAAGAACATACTTCAGTCTGAGAAAGCAACCAGATATAATTGCGAACAGCTAGGGCAGGAAAAAGAATGTTAGGTACCAGATACCTGCAACGCATATAAAGCTCTCTGTCTCAAGTAGTCTGTGTTAAGTAGCTGAAGCTCATGGAAGAGTTCAATAAGAAAATGTGGACGAGATTCGTTTTGAGAAATTAATGTAGCTACTTCAGAATAAATTGTATCCCGCAAAGCTTCGAACATGGAAAAATCACTCCCAGTTTCTGGAAGATATAAAAGATCAGGAAGTTAATGCTGATGAACTATGTTCCTGATAATTTCTGATTAACCTGTATTATTATACTCTCACCTTTAAATTACTTAAAAATCAGAACATACTTAATTCTATTTTAGGGCTTTTAAGGTAGAAAAAGAATTTTAAAATTACCAAGATAAAAATAATCTTGAAAATATCGAGATACATATTGTACATTAGAGAAATATTTAAATGCATGAACAGCATTACTTAGCATTACTTACAGCATACTTATTTCTCAACAAAAAACTGTATACGTTTCACGAGAATAATCAGTGGAATTTTTTCAGCACTTGAATGAAATAAGCTAAGTGTAAATAATTTTTTTTTGCTAATATGAACTTTGTTACAGAAAACAAAATTTATTTTCTTAACGTTGAGAATAAAATGAATGCAGCCAATGAAAGCTACTAGTTTTAGGTCTATCCAGTTAGGACTACTAATTCTCAAATATCAGCTATCATGCTTTATTGATGAAAAACTGAATTTGTAACTATGATACAATAGGACAATTTTACTATAGTTTCTTACTGATGAACTCAAGGTAAGTTGGTGCAGCAGTGACTCAGCTGAAGTTTTGCGTTTTATAGAATCTAGACACCACTACTATTTACCAACAACCTCTGCTATATGTATTTGTTGATAACACGGAATTATCAACCTTAATGGTATATAGTCATATTCTTATTTTTAAGAGTAGGAATTAGGAAGTATTCCCATTTTGAGTTCTCTAGGAAACAAAATCTCCAAGTGGCTCTTCTAACTATCAAATTCTGTAAACTTTCTGCAGCAATAGTAGAACCACAAGAAGTTGAATATTCCAGTTCCGTGAAAATTGGTGATAACTTTCTAAGAAAGGGAATTCAAAATGTTGAGTGTTTTAATATATTGTGCTTTCAAATAAATATGCCAAGATCATAAAGATTTAATTCACTTTTTGCAAGAGAGGGATAAGAAAATGCAAAACCAATGGGGTCTAGTGAAAAACTTTCCACGAATTTGCTAATAAGTAAGTTAACATCTTCAGGTCTCAATTTCCACAAACATAAAATAATAAGAATAATAACTATGCGACTTTCCTATCTTGCCTCAGACATGTATGAGTATAAAATAAAGTGATAGACTAAAGTTCTCTTAGTAGTTTTAAAACATTCAAATGTGATATATATTACCACAAAAATGATATTTATTATAAGCAGGAGCCAAAATTATCTCTGTAGGAAATCTCTAACTATAGGAAAAATCCCGATACGATATGATTTGATACGCAAACTTTCAATTTATACACTATATAGTAGTTTGAACATCGCTGTTTAATTTAGAAAATGTTTATTACTTCAAAGATATAAGAACAAAGTAAATTCAATGACATCTTTCATACTTCTGTATGTGACAGAATTCTCTCTCTAAATTATATCCCATTAAAGATTAAATTATTCCCAAATAATGAATTATGCCAAACACATGTTTCAACCCTCCTGCCTGCAATAAAGGTGGAAAGTTTTTGCCAGTTTCTCCTCCTGGACTAAAACGCATTAGTTTAGGGTAGAAAAATCCTGCTCTCATTTGGTTTCTCTGATTCTATCTTGTTTTCATCCTGTCATTTTCAGAGTTCTTTTCTTTAGGAAGTACCACTGATATATTCAACTTTGTGCTAGGTCCTTGTTTTTCTTCTTTAGATTCTCCTACTGGTTCAAAACAGGCTTTTATTTTTCACTTCTGTATAGTGCAGGAGGCATTAAAGAATATTTACAATTCTAAATCACACAGAACCATATTTAATGAAAATGCATAGTTTAAAGACAAAAATAGCATCTTGGAATCTTTGTAATTCTCCTTGATCTTTATTTATCAAGGTCTTTGCATGTCATAGTTGTTTTTGTTTAATGGTGTGTTTGGTTTTTTTAAAATAGATGTTGACCAGTAATGAAAAATAAGCAACTACAATAGAAGCCATGTACAACACTTAACACTATAAATCAGAGCTAGGAATAAAAATAACTATATTTTTGTTTCCAAAAAAATATTAGCGCTCTTAAGCATTTAAGAAATACAAAATAAATAACTTCAAACAAAACACTAAACTATAAAAAGGTTTTCTATTACCCATATGAATGTGTTGGTTATGTTATATACACTAACAGAAAATGAAAACCGGAAAAGCAGCCAATTTTACCAATCAAGTAAAGAATTATCTTATGAGTATGAATTTTATCAGTATGAATTCTTTCACTTATACAAGCCAAATAACATATATACACTAAGCTAAATCTAAAAAAATAATAAGAGCAATAAAACTAAGGATTTTTAGGACCAATGGGAAAAATTAACAAAAAGTGGACACCAAAACTAAGCAGATTGTTACCTGGCGCTTCATTGCATGCATTTCTGTTAGACTGCTGTAGTATTCTCCTAGCATGTGCTGTAGGAAAGGGCAGACATAAGGATGAACATAAAATGTGTATGAATAGTAAAGACAGGGTCCATAATATGAATCAGTGAATGAAAAAAAGAAATAAGCAAATTTCCTTAAAATTGTTTGCCTCAACTAAAATGT